GTCCTTTCCCCGGAGCCCCTGTCGTCTCTGGCTGCCCGTCACCCAACGCCAGGACATGTGCTGCGGGAGCCAGGGCTCAATACAAGAGCTGTCGCCTGCGTTTCGTGCGAATCCCAGCCCTGCACCTCCTGTCCCGGCACCTCCCTGCAGCAAAATTCCCACCCCGCTCCAGTTTAGGAACTGGCAAACTAGTAGCGTTCAAAGGCAGCAACTTTCCAGCAAGGGCAAAGTTTGAGCGCGGCGCTTTGAAGTGGAAGGAATCTGCCTGTCAGTAGGTGCAGGAAAAAATAACCAAATCTCTTTTCCTGCCGGAGTTTGTTTTCATTTTTTTTAAAAAAAAGAAGGCTGGCATATTTCCCCAAGTATGTTCAGATGAAGCAGCTGATATTTCCAACCCTGCAGCAAGCAAACGGCTCGGTGCCGTGAATGTGGGCGGTGGGAGCCGTACCCTGTAGAAGAGAGGGATGCTGTCGAAGAGGTACGGGTACACGAAGGCCAGCGTGCGGGAAGCCTTGCTGAACCTGGGCCGCTCCACCTCCAGAAACCTAGAAGAAAACAGAGAAGGAATTTCGCGTGGCACGGCACGGCACGTAAGCGCCGGATTCTCTTTGTCAGCCGTTTGCTGGGGACCGTGCCCTGCAGTATATAGACTGCACGTACATTTCCCCATGGGTGGTGGCTGGGAATTCAGGCACAGCGACGCGATTTTTCTACGCTGAGAGTATTAAAGCTGCGACCACCCTCAGCTCGCGTGGCTGGACCTTCCCTGGCTGAACCCTGAGCTGGGGGAGGAAGGATTTAGGGGCCACCCTCCCCTGTTGCATGCTCTGGCTGCGTAGGTGCATCTCTGGAGCTCTGAAAACAACCTTTTTTACACCATCCCGGCGTGGCTGATTTTCCTTCTTTCACCGTTGCTCATTAACCATTACCCGTTAGCAGCTAGGAACAAAGCTGGTCTTTAAACAGCTGCTGCCCCTGCAGTGGTTTTTAACTGAGTTTTCACTCTCAGTTTTGAATCCAAGCTTTCTGAGCACAGCAATCAAGGGGAATACATCTGCCTTGGTTTGGAAGGCTTTGTGGGTGATGCAGCACTCAGGCTGTGATTGTCACCGTTCGTTAATTAAGCTGTATTGCAGCTTATGTCTGAAATGCATGAAACGTCGCAGCATCTTTTCCAGAGCTCCAGAAAACCCTTCTCTCCGATGCCTCCCTGCTGGGAAAGCCAGGCTTTTACAGGGTTTTAGCCCAATGTGGAAATTGAGAGATTAACTTGAGCGGAACTACAGGAGACCTGCCTGCAAAGCAGAAGGACTCTATCGATATGACCCAAAATATGGGTTGAAACGCCAACGATTCAGCTGATGCTCAAGAGCCACGAACTGCGTAAGGGCTTTTGCTTCGCTCCTCCTCAGTTTGGCCTTCCACCATGGCTTGTGGCTTGCTCAGAAGACATCACGATGATGCTGAAGGTGCCTCCTGCTCTATTTTCTCCTGTATTTCTGCATGAGTCCTGCTGTATTTTCCTCCCGTGGTTTCACCTGCCCGGTCCTGCACTCCCATCCTGCTCACCCGCTGCTGCACAGTGCTGCGCTCACCCTTGCCACGCATCTTCCCGCTCCTTCGGCCACGATCCAACCTGCGCTCTTCTGTTGCCACAGCAGAGCCACCGTATCGCAGCCGGGGCACGCGGCCAGGCGCACGGTAACCCCGGGGACAGTGCCCTATTCACACAGGACAGCGTGAGATGTAGCAGAGTTCAAGCGTACTCTGTTCTCCCCGTGAAAAGCCCATACAGGTTTTTCTGCTTTCATGGGGATGTCCGCAGAGAGATGCCAAATCCTCCAGCATGAAAGAAACCTTTTATGCGGCTGCTCATCCTGCAGTGGGGGGGACGCAGTCGGACGCTCGCTATTTCAGTGTGACGGGGGTATCCAGCGTCACGTAAAGGATAAACACGCTTATTTCACTCCATCTGCACACGTTTCCCTGTTTGGCAATCCAGTATTCCTAGGGCACAGGATGCAAAAACCAACCAAACAAAAATTCTTACTGTCGACTCATCAACCAGCCATCGAAGATTGGAGGATTCTCCTGAGAATTATAGAATCATAGAATCATCGAATCATTTAGGTTGGAAAAGACCTTTAAGATCATCCAGTCCAACCATTAACCTACACTACCAAGTCCACACTAAACCAGTCAAGGGTAGACCAGACTAAACCATGTCCCCCAGTGCCACCTCTGCCCGTTTTTTGAACCCCTCCAGGGATGGGGACTCCCCCACCTCTCTGGGCAGCCTGTTCCAATGCTTGACCACCCTTTCCGTAAAGAAATTCTTCCTAATATCCAACCTAAACCTCCCCTGGCGCAGCTTGAGCCCATTTCCTCTTGTTGATGAAATTTCGTGCAGCAGCTTAGCCAATGCCTTTCTTCAGATGCCCCGCTGCCAGTCCCTGCCTTCATCACGTCGCTGCATCCTCCTCTGCATTAACCCACACTCCCGTTGACCTCCCCGCGGTGCATGCAAGAGGCTGAGCGTACTCTGCCGCTGTGTTCGGCCACGGTGCAGAAGCTCAGCCGGGATCAGGAGCCCTGCCCTTGTCTGAACCTCTCCGAAACGGGCAGGCGTGCTGCTCGCCTTGCTCTCCTCGAGTGACCCCAGTCCGTGGCAGTGCCACGTGCGCTGGGGGCTGACAGCATCCGTGGACCCTCCCGGCTCCTCGAAACAGCCCTGCCCAGGGTGCGGTTGGCGGAGCAGCCCCGACAGCATTGCTGTGCTGCTGCTGAGCCCTCAGCGAGCCGGGCAGGAGCCGGAGTGCCCGGACAGGTCCCCTCGGAACACGCCTGGCTCGGTAGCATCACCACCCATTGTGCAATTTGGTTTGGGGTCCGCTCCTGTCCATCCACCCCCTGCCTCGGAGGGACGTTTTGGCTGGCGTGACTCAGCCGAGGGTGACACTGAAGCGAATGCAATCGGTGAGCAGTGCCCTGCGGTGGGAAACAGGGTGGCCCAGGCGCCGGCGGTCTCGC